TAAAAATATATATTTTTAGTTTTTCCTTTCACTTTTACATGCATTTGTGTCTCTTAAATGATTATATTTCATTATATTTTATAATTTTTCTCACAAGTCTTTTTATTTCCATGTGTTGCGTTTACTTTTCTCTGTCTCCTGTACTTAGTCCTTATGCATTTCTGCCTCATCGTGCAAATAAGGTTAATTACTTCGTTTAAAGCAAAGACAGGTAAAACACTTGCCYGTGCCTTTGTTTTTAAACTAAACTTTAAGCTAAACTGAGGCAGCACAAGTGTGCACAATATATCTGCATATGGTTCCTGCTCCTTCCTAATATTTTCTGTAGAACAGCAAATAGAACAGCAAACTCTGAAATATTATGTTTCAAAATACATCCTTGTAAAGATCATGTCACACCATTAAAGCAGGAGTTCAGGGGGTTTTGGTTTTAATTTACCAAGCAAGATTGTGTTAATTAAACATTGTGACTAGAACTACCACTGTTACAGTGATTAGAGTAATTAAAGTTACAATCCAAACATTAAAGAAACAGAAGCTGCAGTCTTTTCAGAATGATTTTGGAAAAGACTTTCAGTGGATTTATCGCTGTGGGAAATAGCTGAAATGTACAAATACTGACACACAGTTAAAGTAAAAATGTCATTAAGTTTCAGGGTGGATATAGTCTTTTTTAGGTAGATAAAAGTGATTTTCTTCCCATCTAACTGATAAGCACAGTGGTTTGTGAGTAGAAAGGTGGAAAATGTAAAAAAAAAAAAACTGAAGCAGTGCAGAATCCATTTTCTGGTGGGAAAAAAAAGAATAATCTTTATAACATATTCATCCACCTACACATCTCCATGATTCTCCTCAGGAGATCTAAAGGTTATCACAGCATGCTGGAAGCAGATTCACAAAGTTTAAATCTACAGAACTGCGTTGTACCTAGCAGCAAAATTAACTTTTTATTAATCAGGCCTGGGCGTGTTTGAACTGCGAATAAAAATAAAAAAATAAAAATAAAAAAATAAATAAAAATCAAAGCAGTTTGCCAGCCACTGAAGATGATAGGATGATAAGGGTTTTGCCCAAGTACGTGCATCAGTGTGTATCTCGTCTGTTAGCAAAACACCTCAAGAACCACTGCATGCATTTTAATGAACCTCCCAGAAAAGAGTGATCTACAGCTGATTCACTTTTAAAGGCAGGTGAAATCAAGATGGCTGCCACAGCTAACTAATGCTTAAAAAACACAACTGTGATGGTTCCACCATTTTTACAGGAAAGCTTTACGTTAGGCATCATCGTTGCATAAAACGTTCCTTGATGAGTTTTTTGAACAATTCTGACTGTACAAAAACTTTTCCTAATGATTTWTATTTTTCTGTGATGACGGTGTCCACTTACTAGAAGACATAGGTCGTGTGATCTTGATACGTTTCAAATGAAACAAAACATTTCTGAGCAGCTGCCCAGATCTAACTGCTCTCGAACGCAATCAAAATCAATAAGTTCCGATTGCACGGGTGATTTTCTACGACGTCTAAGGAAAACAGTCAGCAATTACCTGCTGCAATTAAAAGCAACAAGGTGCATTTGTAAATTAGGTCACAGTGGATTTGGTTCCTTTGTGAGCTGAAAACAATCACATATTCAGATGATTATTATTGAGTGCCGTGATGTGAAAGCTGAACTTTAACACAGATTAGTCGCTCAGAAAGAAGAAACTAATAAAACATCCTACTTTTCCTCCTAATGATATTTTACAAAATGTCAGCAAAGATTTAAAAAGCAATCTTAAATAATAACATGCTTTTAAACGGGTAATAAAAGCATGCTAAAAGATTTCTTGTTTTTGGTAGCTGTTGGTATAAAGGTCAGAGGCCCCTAAAATACAGTGTAGAGCCTGTTCCTTTTCCAACATTGATGGATGAGAAGGTTGACAACCTGTTTTAGTTTTTTTGTGTGATGTAAAAGTCAGTCAAGTCTGTTTTGCTGGCTTTTGATTCCTGCGCCACAGTGGGAGTCTGGGATCACAAATGTTACACCCGTTCATTTTACTTTAGAGCTCCATTAGAGAGGAAGGGTGTGTGAAATGGACCAGGAGTTATGCACAATATCTCAGGTTTATGACCACAAACATGGACTTTTTATGACCACCTATTTATCCACGGTTTCACCCTGTGGCACCATCAACTCTGAAGAACAGGCTAAAAAAAATCTCCACAGTGATGGAAATACATTCCTAAAATGTAACTAGAAAATGTGCATTTTCTGCAAAAATGCAGGGTGAATGATTTTTGCAGAAAAAAATAAATGAAAAGATGTACAACAATTTTGCAATTAGTTGCCAAAAAAGCTAAATTAACAGAAAAGTGGGTAAAAAGTAGCTCAAAAAAGCTAAAAGTAGCACAAAAATGCAGACAGAGCGCATTCGCTGAATTATGCAGAAAAAAGCTGAAATAATCCCAAAGAGGTGAATTTAGCTGAAAAAACTAAAAATAGCTAAAACGTAGCTTGCAGAAAACAACTGAAAGAAGCATGAAAGCTTAAGGTAGCAGAAAGAAGCTGATACAAAAACGTTTAAAGCAGAGGAGCCCAAAGTGGGGCCCGTGGGCCATATTTGGCCCGCCAAGCCATTTGATTTGGCCCACCAAAAGGTAGTGAAGGTAGTTTTCATTCATGGTGCTGACTTTATCTTTGATTTTTTTAGGATTAAACGTGAGACATGAAATGACAAGAAATATTTTGTTCAGATTTAACCACACATGTAGATTTGCACACTTTATAAGACCACAAAAACTCATATTTCATCAATTTATGAAATGTCCCATGATCCTTTCCTACTTGAGCGTATGGCAGACTTTCTCCAAGTGCACAGACTAAAACAAAAGAGTGCCATTGCATAGCTTAATCGTTAAAAATAAGGGACTTTACTTTAAAAAGTATTTGTTTTTCATGTATTATATAACTGTATTTGGCCCGCTGCCCTGGATGGATTTTCATTTTGGCCCCCTCAGGGAAAATGTTTGGGCACCCCTGGTTTAAAGTAATAGAACAGCAGAAAAGAGCATAAAGATAGCTGAAGTGAGCCAAACTTAGCAGAAACAAAGCTTAAACACACACACACACACACACACACACACACACACACAAACAACCAGAACAAAAAGTGGAAAGTGCAGAAAAAGTTTAACTATTTTGAAGTATTTTAATGATGTTGAAGACAGCTCCATTCATTTTTAATGAGAAAAAAAAATGATCTCAAAATCTCTCAAAGAGTATAAATTACTAAAATATCAAAAAGTTAGCAGGAATGTTCTGAAGGAGCTGAAAATTTTGACATATGAATTGTTGAAATAGCACAAAAACTGCAAAATGAGATACAYGCTAAACACACAGAGCAAAAACAATGATTTCCATGTTGTGAATATTTCAGAGCATTCATACAATAAATGCCCATCAACAAAGGAGTATGAGTGTCACAAGACAGCTTTCTTCTTGTCTTATGTATTTTCTTTTAAAAAAAGGTTAAATAAAACAGCAATAAAGATTTTTTTAAAAATCAGGCCTTCACACTGCTACCCTCTCTCATGTGAAAACATCAAGTTAGAAATGTCAAACCACACGCTGCGTTTCTCCAAGACCGCAGAGCCCCCTGAAATCATCCTAACTGTGTGAGAAACGAGAAACTGCTGGGCCTTTCATTGTGAAGCTGTTACTCACACATGGCCGGTTTCGTGAGCCACTACGAAGGCCGAGGAGAAGCCGTCCTCGTGGTTTAAAGTGCAGCTCCTCAGAGGGTGACACATCCCGGTCACTGGAGCATAACCTGGACAAAAGAAAAGACCGACACAAMCCTAACAATCAAGAACCAGGATGAGGAAAGGGAGCGTCGCCACACAGTGTGAAAGGATGGAAAGTATGAGAGGACTAAATGAAGTGACTGGGGTCAGGCTTTTTATGGTTGTTATCAGGCTAACTCTTATGTTTGAGTACTTTAAGAAACTCACAAGAGGTGATTACTTAATATCTTAAAAACACAACACTGTGATGAATAAGTAATAATCAGGTGAAGCACTTCACATTTAGAAAAAAAAAACACTTTGTTTCTCAAAGTAAAATGCTCCCTGTGACTCACTGAAGAGTAAAAGTAGTTGTGCGTCATGTTCATGTGATGAAGCGTAAGTGAAGCTTTTCATTGTAATTCAGAAAAGACAACCACATGTTTTCTCTGCCTGGCAAGTGGCGTGCACAAGTGAGGCACTAATGATTTTACATGGTGAATAAAAAACACTAAAAGTAGCTTGTTTAATGCAAAATAAACCAGGGAARGTTTTATTAGGTAAAACTTTAAAAGGGAGGCTAATAAACATTTCTTCATGAAAGAAAAAAATTCATCTCAAAGCTTTATAGCAACCCGGTCAACATCATTATCCAGAAGACACCCAGCTGGCATAGCAACTTTTTTTTATTTTTTTTATTTTATTTTTAGTGCATGGATGGGCATAAAAAATGTAATAAGCAAAGCACAAACATCACACATAACTCGATCAAGAGGTGTGCAGTGATTCAGCTTTTGGTTTGCTTTAGAAGCAGCCTTCTTTTGGGCATTTTTTTCAGGTGATTTTCATGCTTTTTGACTATCAGAAAACTGTTTTTTGGCATGCAGGTAAAAAGCAGCAAATGCAGCAGGCAGATAGCTGGTGGTGCTGAAAAAGAAGAGCCTCAGCAGCAAGTTATTTCTTTTTTTTTTTCCACTATATGATGATGATGTGGCTGTGCTTCAGCAAAGAGCACTTTCAAACAACCAAAATGACTCCATAATAAGTGACAACATAATGAGCGCATTAATGCTGCAAAGTGAAATAAAGCAGTTATGGAGCAGAACTCTTTATCTGACAGGCAGATAAAGAGAAATCAGGAGAATGCAGATTACATTCTCGCCAAGAGGCCAGCACTGGAGCTTTGCACACTAAAGCGAAAACGTGCAGCAGCAGCAATGGTTAAAAATGTGGGGGGTGTTTTTAGGTTGTTTTTTTTTTTTTTTTTTTGTACTCAGTGAATTAAGTAGTCTGCCGCCTGGTTGGCAAACTCAAACAAAAGTATGTTGCATGGAAACCATTCAGTGTAAACACTTGAAATCGATGTTTACAGTAAATCAGTCACAAAACAGTTCAGTTTCTGCATTCACCTTTAGCTCATAGAATCATCCCCAACAGCTAAATAATAATAATAATAATAATAATAATAATAATCTATATTTAGATAGAGATCTACCTTCCCACAACTAAACACTGACAAGAATGTGTGATGTCTTTTTTGTGACCCGTGGCGTCGGGTCCAAGGCAACACAGTGCAAGGTGCCATAGAAACCAGAACTTTGTTGTGAACACAACACAACTGTAGCTATGGCACGTCTGAGGGTGGGACAGGCAGCGCAGGTAGCCCCGGGCCGTCCTCTAAACATGGCACATGTGCTTTAAAAAACAGTGAAACGGTACACAGGTCAATGCAACATACTGAGCTTGTTTGCTCATTCTGGTGTCAGTTTCTGTGGAAGCTTTGGCTGCTCGCTTCAAACTTTGCTTTGAAGGGCTGAAAAAAAAGAAATACAGGGTGAGATAGTTTGGGAAAATAGTAGCTTATGGCTGTGAAAACGATCTTGTCCCTTTGAATAGTTCTTTTTTTTGTACTTACACATTTCAGATCATTAATTAAATGTTAATATCAGACAAAGATGATGGTAAATGTCCTGATGCATCTCAGTAATCCAGGTAAAAAATCAAAGGAAAAAAAAATTGTATAGGTC